CATATATTGCATTATTTGTTTCAGAGGTACAGGTCTGTGATTCATCAGTTTTACACAATTCACAGTGCTCACCATAGCACATACCCTCCCCAGTGTCTATCACCCAGCCACCCCATCCCTCCCACCCGCCATCACTCCAGCAACCCTCAGTTTGTTTCCTGAGATTAAGAATTCCTCATATCAGTGAGGTCATATGATACATGTCTTTCTCTGATTGACTTTAGGCAAAATCACTTTTTTAATCAGTTTAGCATTTTCTGAAGTATATCCATTTATAGATGGTAATAGCTATTTGCAAAGTGTTAAGTTTTCTGTCAACATATTACCTCTTCAAGTTTAAAATTCAAGTTAAAAATGAATACTTATATATTTTTCATAAATCTGAAAATATGTATGCTTAATATCTTATCTAAAACATACTTTATATGCAGTATATGGCAAAGATCTTATTTGGGAGAAATTAAGATTGATAAGGTAAAATTTCAGTAATTTTATTGATATGTCACTTATAACAATGGGAATATCAGCCCCAGAAAAATCCCTCTGTGGGACCTTTAAGACCTTCCCATTTGTAGCTCCCTCAGTCCTGAATGTTCTCTCTCTACTTCTTTTTTCCCCTGGCTTATAGCCTCGGGAAATGATGTCCTTCAGACAAGTTTTTCTTCATTCTTCCTACACGAGTTCCAGCGAATTCCAGTTAGATTATAAATTCCATAAAGCTGGAGAACATATTTATAATTGTTAATTTTGGGAGGTCCCACAACTTTGAGTATATCCTACTTTGTACTTTATTGGTTAATAAGTAATTATTCAGTCATGATGAAATATTTTACATGAAAAAGTTGCTTCAGAGAAGGTATTCAAAAATGGTACTCTCAGTGACTGTTATGGAAGCCTACATTGGTGCAACCTTTGTGAAAATCAACTTGAAATTGTTTTTCAATCTTTAAATGTTCCATTATTTGGCTCTGTAATTCCAAATCTGGGATTCTCTCCAAGGGAAATAATCAGATACACATATATTTAGTATACAGTGTATTTATCTGTATACTTATTTACATTATTTATAATATAAAAACTGGGAAACCAAATATTCAATAAATGGAAATTAGTTTGAATGATATTTAGGAAGATTTATTGGCTTAAGTTTTCAAAACATTTTCATAGAATTATGACATAAAAACCTTCAATTAATCTTCATGTAGATGTCTCTTAGAATGAGAATTCAATTATATGCAAGAGCCTGGAAGTTAAACAAATAAATAATTTGAAACAAAATAAGAAGGAATCCTTAGTTTAAAATGGTAACTATGACATTTCAGTTCCTTGTCATGAATCTTATTTAAATAGTAGCAGAGATCAGATCAAAGAAAAAAGAAAGAAAAAATTAATGTAGGTAAACAAAGTTATTCTGTAAAATCCTGTATAAATGATGGCTGTTTATAGGTAAGAATTAGCATTCATCTTCCATTCTTGTACACAGCAAATCACAAACGTGATGTTCAAGAGTCCTGAGTTCTGTTTATAAAACCAACACATATGTTTGAATTGTTTTGTAATGAATATAACCTTGTCATCCTGATCTGTTTGTTAACATGCTTTTTAATGACCTTTCCTTAATCACTTTTTTGGGTGGCATGGGACACACAGGGCATGTAAAAGATGTAGTGTCAGCCCTCACATTCTTCACGGGATTACTGCATAGACAACACAGATACAGAGAGTCTTTTTTTTTTTTTTTTTTTAAGTTTTTAGTTCTATGTAATCTCCACACCCAAAGTGGAGCTCAAACTCACAACCCCGAGATCAGGAGTCACATGCTCTACCGACTGAGCCAGCCAGGTGTCCCTGGACACACATAGTCTTAAGATAACAATCTGTTAAAGAATAAATAATTATGGGCCAAAATACGGGTTACAGATGTCAAATGTCCAGAGGAGGTTGGAAGAGGCAAAGATAAATGTGGCTGCGTAGCTGTAGTCAGTGTGAGGAGGGAAGGCGAGCTTATGGCATGTGCTCTATGTACTTCCCTAAAGAAGAGATGCCTTGTGTCTTACACCGGGGAGTTTTAACCCATTAGTTTAGAAATGAATGAACTGCTTTTAACAAAATCATGTGAAGTGGATATTGATTAATGATGCTGACTTGTTCAATTGTAATATTTTTGAACCTCTTTATAGCTCTACGAGACACTGGAAAACAGTCTATTAATAGTGACTGGAAGATCGAACACTCGGGAGCTTTCAACTTAGCAGGCACTACTGTCCATTATGTAAGACGAGGCCTCTGGGAGAAGATCTCTGCTAAAGGTCCTACTACATCACCTTTACACCTCCTGGTATGAGGGGACCAACTGATAACATTGCATAATCAACTTCCTATATCAAAGGCCATTCCCACTGTACCTTCTCTAATCTTTTTTCCAAGTTTGAATTGTCAGGTAGACATTCAAAATTATTTAAGGGGGGGGGTTTTAGGTTTTCATTTTAATGTGTTTTAAATCCTGATGTCAAAACCAAAAATTATTGTGAGAAGAGCAAGACGTTTTAGGGAATTCACAGACTCAAAGTAGAAGTGAACTGTCAGGCAATAAGGAGCCTGTTTTTTCTAAAAGAGCAGTTTTACCAGCAGTGGCTTAGTGAATTACTAACAGGAGTGGGTGTCTGTAAAGATAGTGTTATAATATGGCAACTCGTAGCATCCATGGAATGGGCATTTTCTGAATCTGCATAAAATGCCTTTGATAAAATGATAACTTGCGTGGGAAAAGCTTTGGTAAACGTATCTAACAATGCTTCCAATTACCCTCTTCTGTTTTTTTACTGGATGAATTGATTCCTGTTAAGAATTATGAAAGTTTGAATCTTTGGGATGATACCTTTCTTTACTGTGTAGTAGATGACTGCGTCTGAGGCAGGACAGGGAATGGAGTGAAGGAAGCCGAACAGTGAGGCTCTGCATCCAAGCTGGTGGCTGGTTCACATGCTCCTTTTGACCTTGAACTTTGCAGTCAGTGGTAATGTCTCAGGAGCCTGAGGATTGACTGCACAGCTGGCATGTTCTCCATCCTAGTGGCAGAGTCTGGAATTCAGACACTTCAACACCTCCAACAGACTCCTAGAGGGAGTCTGCTTCTCCCTCTACCCCTCCCCCTTCTCGTGCTCGCTTGCTCTCTCAAATAAACAAATAAAAATTTAAAAATAAAATAAAATAAAATAAATCAGATTGCCCATGATGATGCACTCCTAAGCTTGGCAGTGAGTACCAGGGGAGAGCAAAACAGACATGGTCCCCGCTATGGGTTAGTCCAGTGTGTGGCCCAGAGTTCAGTCATTCTCAGATATTTCTCATGGTTTATTGCACTGTTTATATATGTGTACATAACTGTACCATTGTTAAGTCTAGAACACGATCATCTGACTGTTTATTTGGAGTGTGGTGTGCCACATTATTTAATATCGCCGCACGATTCAAGCTGAATTTGTCTTCAATTGGAGACATCTGTGTCGCTGGTCTAGTAGCCAGAGTTCAAATCATTTATCAGCCCGTTTGCTTTTCCTGCTTTAATGTGCCTACAGATCACCTGGGGTTCTTGTTAAAATGTACATTCTGATGCATTTGGTCTGGGAGGGACCTGAGATCTGCATTTCTAACCAGCTCCCAGCTGATGTCACTACTGCTGGTCCAGGGACCACATTTCAGGGCACAGTTTTTTGTAGAACTGCAATCGTGGGCCTGACCAACAGGAATGAAGGGAGCAAAGTGAGATAGATGCATGGGAACCTTCTGCTCCAAATCATCATAATAATGATAATACATCCCATTCACTGCGCACTGAGTCGGATACTGTTCCAAAGTACTTTGCTCATTACAGCATTCAGTCCTCACAGAAACCCTGTGTGATATGTATCATTTATTATGCCAATGTACAGATAAAAAAAAAAACTAAATATGAAAAAGTTAAGTAATGTGCACAGTGTCTCCCAGTAAGTTATTTAGCTGTGAATAAACCAGGTATTAATCAGTCTTTGATGCTGCCTCTCTGACGGAAGGCTCAGCTCTAAGCTCTTTACACCAGACAACGTGGGATCCCAAGTATACACATACTTTCAATAACTGTGTTCTTCATCTCCTTCCAGATCCTTTGGATCCTATTATTTAATTTGAATTAGAAGCTCTACTCTGTCTTGGGCCATCTGGAGAGAGAAAAAAAAATGACTAAACAAACACTGTATGACCAATATCTGGCTCTTTCCATGATTGGGTCACTTATAATAACATTATCAACAACAAACATATTTTTTAAGGATGGGCTTGCAGAGAAAGCCATCAGGTGACCTGCCTTAGATGAATGTAACCTACATTTTTTTTTTATGGAACAAGACCGGAGCTCTTTATTGAGCCTCTAATTCAAAATCTTTAAACAGTATATGAGACCTCAGTGTTGGGCGGGGGAGTCTCCTTGCTGCAGAATCCTTAATCTGACTGGTAATTACCAAGGTTTTTCCTGGAAGCATGAAGCATAATTAAAATCAGTGAACTATGTCTAAAAGAAGGCATCTGTGTGACCTGGATTTATTCAGTAATCCAAGGGAAACTGCACTTCTAAGGTATTTTTCCTTAATGACTATTACAGATTGAAAGCCGGTACTGGATTTTGAAAGGCAAGACCTTTTGCGGCCATGCTTCCCTGTGTGCCCCCTCCACTGTAACACGGTCACACTTTCCTTCTTGCAAAACTCTACTGCCAAATCCGAATGGTTTAAGAAAGAGCTAATGATTTTGTAGCCAATGTCTTTATTTTAAGTGGCATTAGAGATTCAAGGACAATCTAAAGTTCTATCAATGAAAAGGTAGTTTTTAAAGGAAAAATAGACATGTTTTTATTAAGTTAAAGAAGTTGGCAAAGAGCTATAATTTATGTCCTTTTTATCAATTTAAAAACTATGTAATAGTCTGGTTATGTCCATAAACAAGATAAGTCAATCTCTGTCTCTCTCTTTTTTAACGTATTTAGCTGGAGGTCCCTTATAACTGGCGACATCAAATGAGATATTTAAGGCCAAAGTAAGCACTGTGATGTACTTAGAATGAGTACCCCGGTATGTTATGTATATGTGAATTTGAAAACTATCATATTTATTGTTGATAGAGCTGATTTACAATTCCATTATGTTAGTTCCCAAAACCACGTATTAAAATATACCTTAGCATTTCTGTTGATATATTGAGCAGAGTATTAAGATGAAGAAGCAAAGAAAATTAACCCTGTGCTCGTGTCCAGTTTTTCACACTGAGCATTAACTCTGAATTACCTGTCATTACAACTACCTTGATAGAGGTTTAATATCAAACAAAGTTCTTGAACAATTTAACATAATTTAAATTTTAGGTACATTTTTATGCATGATATTGTATTATATAGATTGCTTTCGTAAATCCTCAGATTCATAGAAGTGATATAATCCATGGGGTTGTTTGACATATTTTGTGCAAATGTATTTATAAAGGAACATATATTCTCATTCATTCTTTCATTTAAAATGAGCGTACTTCAGGCATTTTTTTCTTTCATTTAAAATAGATCTGATTGCCAGGAGCCTGGATGGCTCAGTCGGTTAAGAGACTGCCTTCAGCTCAGGCCATGATCCTGGAGTTCCAGGATCCAGTTCCTCATCAGGCTCCCTGCTCAGCAGGGAGTCTGCTTCTCCCTCTACCCCTCCCCCTTCTCGTGCTCGCTCGCTCTCTCAAATAAACAAATAAAAATTTAAAAATAAAATAAAATAAAATAAATCAGATTGCCCATGATGATGCACTCCTAAGCTTGGCAGTGAGTACCAGGGGAGAGCAAAACAGACATGGTCCCCGCTATGGGTTAGTCCAGTGTGTGGCCCAGAGTTCAGTCATTCTCAGATATTTCTCATGGTTTATTGCACTGTTTATATATGTGTACATAACTGTACCATATTAAGTTAATATTTATTTTAAAAGTTCAGTTGAATATAAATTTCTTTTCAAACGAAATGATCTTTCCTACAAATGGAAAATTAATAATCTTGCCAAAACTGAAAGTTAACAGTAAGCAACATGGAAAGGTATTATGGTCCTCTGGTCAGTTAGACATTCTCTACCCTTATGGAGTGAAGTGATTCTCGTGGTCTTGTATCCTCTTCCTCCACTGACACAGGGACTTATTATCCATCTTCCTGTTTTATATGAGTGGAAAGGCTACATTTGATAATAGATTGTGGGTTATATCTTGATGTTAGATAGGACAGATAACCCCATCCCCTCTACTAAAGTCATCATCTACATATATCATGCTTTGGGAAACTGCCTGGTCCATTCATAGACTTGAAAAAACATGACCCGATGTCTCTGACCTCATTCAGGTGGGCTGTTTGTCATGATGTCTTTAGCTCAGGGGTAAGTGTGTAACTCCAAACTTTGCAGAAGTATGTCACTTTGAAGATTTCAGTAATCATGTCACAATTCTACATATAAAAGGAGCGTGCATACCATGCAATAAGCATTTTAAGGTATCAGTTATCCTTAGTATTATACTTCACATTGTCTGTGCTCTCCTTTACCCTATTGCTGCCTTGATCACTTTCATATTTTATAGGTGCTGCTATTTCAGGACCAGAATTACGGCCTTCACTATGAATATACTATCCCATCAGACCCTCTTCCAGAGAATCAGAGCTCAAAAGCGCCTGAACCCCTTTTCATGTGGACGCACACAGGCTGGGAAGATTGTGATGCCACGTGTGGAGGAGGTGAGGGATTTTCCAGTATTTATCTTATCAAAACAGCAGTTGCTTTCTGATTTATCATTGATAATTAAGGCACATTTGCAAGCCCTTATCTGAAATTCCAAACTCCATAAAGGATTGGAAACTGAAAGATTTTTGTGACACGTGTAATGTCTAAATGCCTGAACTCTTGTGTGGCAAAATCTGATGTGAACTGAAGAAAGGCCATTTACAGTTAGTCTTTGCATTGCTTTGCATAAATATTAATGCATTTGCCTACAGGGACTGCCCTAGACACCACACAAGTTGTTCTGCCATATATATGTGCTTTTCTATTTACTTTCTATGTTTACTTTTTTATTTTTATAAAATTTACAAAGTTCTAAATTCCAGAGTACATCTACCCACAAGAATTGCAGACCTGCAATAAATATAAAGGTGCTATGAAAGAGTAACATCGAGCTTGCTTCTGTGCCATCCACATACTTAGTTTGAATAGACAGAGCACCTGAAGAAAATCATTTAATTTTCCCTATTCCTTTATTTTGATTCTTCAAAAGTGTCTGTCACTATGTTCTATAATAGAGATGTATCCTGAAATTTCACTCAACAGTTTTAAATTATTTTTTCATATTAGAAGTTAGCAGGCAAAAAAACCAAATTGCTTCAGCATAAAATGTAAGATTAGCAAATCACTTAATCTTACTAATGAGACCCTTGAGGACCAGAGATTAAACAGATGGTCAGTGACTCTCAGAACCAGTGAGGCCAAGGCAAGATCTCAGGGCATGAGGCTCCCAGCTTCCCTTTGTATCCCATATGTCAGCAGTGTAGATTCCATTTGTGTTCTGCACTTAATAACAAATTTTCTATAGTTCTTTAGTAATAGCTTCCTCCTAAGGCTGAAAGGAAGCATTATATTAAATTTTATAAAAATATTATATATATAAAATATATGTGTATATATAACATATGTATATATAATATAAACAAACTAGTTTATAACATACATAACATATATATATGTATATTGTATTATATATAATACATATATAGCATAAGTATATTATGTATAGCCCATGATGATGCACTCCTAAGCTTGGCAGTGAGTACCAGGGGAGAGCAAAACAGACATGGTCCCCGCTATGGGTTAGTCCAGTGTGTGGCCCAGAGTTCAGTCATTCTCAGATATTTCTCATGGTTTATTGCACTGTTTATATATGTGTACATAACTGTACCAT